GCGCAGGCTCCCTCTCCCGGGTGCCCCCGGGCTCCCCCAGCCTCTTCCCCCGGCCCCGTGCCCTGGGGTGGGATGCGCCTCGCTATAGCAGCAGCGATGGACCTCGCTATAGCAGCAGGGATGGAGGAGGCTTGTCCTTTGCTGCAGCCCCCCGCTTACCTGTGGTCCCTTTGGGTCGCTTGGAGGACACGGGGAGAGGTCACCTCCAACTAAGGGCTTTGCCAAGGGCTGGCAGGGCCGGCAGTCGAGCAGAGCTCAATGGGGCTCACTGTGGGGCCCAGTCCCTGCTGCCCCGCTCACTGTCGGTGCGTGGAATAGGTGCTGACTTGTGCCCTGGGCTGTGGGGAGCCAGCCTGGGCTGCACGGAGGCCTGCACTCGCCAGCCTCAGAGCTGGGTCCTGCCCAGTCGGGGAGCCCACGCTTGCATAGCCCCCAGCACAGGTAGCCCCCGGCAGGTGTGGCCCCCCTCTGCTGCAGCTTGTGAGGGAAATGGGGGTCTCCAAGGGGTATCATACAGCTAAATGTCTAAGGAAGGTGGAAACCCTAGCAAATCTGCAGGGGGTATTTGGAAAGAGCGTGGCACGTGGAGGGCTAGCTCAGAGCCAGGAGCGGGCAACTGAGCGCAGTCATGCTCTGAAACAGCCGGGTGGAACAAGCAGGACCTGTCCGGTCACTCCCTTGTCCCCAGCTGGGCTGGCCCAGGCAGTTCAGCAACCCTTTCCAGACACCTGGAAGTTCGGCTTTCTTCCCTGACCCAGCCTTGTCCCTGGAAATGCCTGAAAACCCTGGGCATGCTCGGGTCTGGCATGTCTCTTGGCTCTCAGGCCTGTCTAGGGTCTGTTTCCCCTAGCATCCCAGGGTGGGACACATTCAGCTCTGCTAGACTTTGCTCTTGCCAGCGCTGCCCTTTGCCTTGCCAGTGGCTCAAGAACGGGGATGTGGCAGTGCGGGGAGCAGCAGGGTACCTGCCAGCCCTAGAAGGGACCTCTGGAAAATTGCTTAGGAGCTGCATTAAAACGTGCAGTGATTGTCATAGCCCGAGTGACTGTTATAGCTTAATAATTAGCGGGCAGAGGGGGTGGAAGTACAGAGTGTCTCGATAAAATTTTGCAGCCGCGGTGGTAGCAATTGTCACAAAGCGCTGAAACAGGGCAAAGAAAGCTTTGAGTTGCATGGGGGCTCAGGAGGGACTCCCCTGCTCAACCAGTCATGAGGGGTGAAGGATGTTGTGCTGCCTGGGGCAGCATCCCACATCCAGCAAGTCTCCTTCAGCCCCGGTCTTGCAGGGAGCAGACCATGGGTGGAGCCTGGATTGCAACCTGTGTGCCCTCAGACAGGGCTGGGGTGCCACAGGATGCTGGCCTGCTCCCTGCCCGTGTCTCCTGACCTTGCTGACGGTAGTAGTCGGTGCAGCTCCGAGGGGGAACTGGAGCTAATCGCACTTCTGCATCATCAAAGGGATTCTTAGGAGAGCAAGCTGCAAATCACATTCCCAGCGCTGCCGGGAAGGGCCCAAGGGGGGTTTGCAAGGACAGCCTTCGTGTGGAAAGCTGGCCCGTCTCTCTCCTCGGGCACAGAGCACATGAGCTTCCTGCAGTCACAGGAATCTCATGCAGATAGATCTTCCTCCCTGCATGCCCACAACCCCAGTTCCTTGCTTTCACCCAGGCTGACTGCAGAGCAGAGCAGAGCTGCTCCTGGCAGGGCCTGCGAACAACAGCTCTGCTAAGTAGGAAGAAATGTTATTTGCCCATCTGGCACTGAAGATCTCTAAACTCATCTCATGCGTGGAGCAGAGATACTTGGATGCTCCCAGACCTTTTAGGCTTGAGGCTGTTGGGACGTAAAGGGTCTGGCATTCCTGAGCAGCTAGATACAGGCTTCCTTGTGGAGAGGCACTGGAGCAATCCAGGCTGGAGCTTATCTATCTGCTGAGGGGAGGCCGCTGAAACTTGATAACCCCTTGGGCCTCACATCCCCCAGAGAAACAGCCCTTCAGTGGCTCCCCAGCAGGGTGGGACAACTGCAGGGCCTGGCAGCCAAACTGCTGCAGCCAGCCCGAGCTCTTCTGGCAACACTGAGGGATGGGTTGGGGAGCAGGGACAGCTCTTAGTAACTTGGAAGGTTTTTCCATCAGTGTGGGCAAAACCATAGCCAGGTTCCTGGAAGTGGAGGATGGAGTCCCTCATGGAGCAGAGGGGAGAGAGCCCAGACCTGCAGCTTGCTGGTGGCTGCCCAGGCCAGGATATACCTTGACTAGGCTCAGGCAGGACCGTTCTTCCATATGAGCAGAGCCAAGCTCACCTGGGCAACTCCTGATGAGTATAGGTTGGTTTTGGTTGTTCTAGTCAGAGCTGCTCCACTCTGCTCCAGTAGAGCCTGTCGGGGATGTGCCTCCCTCTGAGCTCAATCCTCAGGCTGGAATTTACTGCCTGTTGTCACAGCCCCTGGCTGTCACTCACTGTCAGAGCTGAGAGCTCTGCAGGAATGTGGATGTGCCCAACAGCTTCTAGCAGCAGGTGCCTAGATCCATGCATACCTCAGTGCGGAGGGCAACACAAAGAGGGGCCTTTCTGGTGTCATCCCCGTAATTTAAAATGCACCCTTCCTCAAGTAACAGCAGGATGTTGCCAGGTTGTACTTGGACAAGACTGCATGAACTTGGGGTGCTCTGCCCTTAACTCTGCCCACTGGGCTAAAATGGATCTTTGATATTCATCCAACGCAGTCTGTTAGACTAGGGCACTTGCCTCCCTGCATCTCCTCCTTGCTTACCCAAAGAGACAGGCAAGCTGCTGTTATCTGTAGGCTGCTCCTGAACACGGGATACCTCTTTAGAAGTGATGGGGCTTGAACGGGCTGGTCGGAGAAGGCATCGTTCTCACAGGCTGTTGCAATTGATGTGATGAATTAGCATGTCTGCCTGCCCAATGATTTGACTGGAAGGTACCTCTCAGGTTATTGTGTCTGTCCCTGGCTGTCATGATAACTATGGGATGGGGTCCCGGAAGAGACACCAGCTGTGTGGGTGGGGAGATTAACTGGTGGGTGATTCATGCAAACCTGCTTCAGGTTTGCGATGGTTTGTGCTGCGAGTTACTAGACAGTGAAGTGGAAGGGTGAGTGGGTGCTGAGAGCCCACACATCCTCTGTGGGGCTGGCCTGAGCCGAGGTGCAAGGGCTTGCTCGTTAAGGGAGCACAGTCACGAGGGTGAGCGGTGCGGTGGTGGAGCACTGTGTTGCAGCTACTGGCAGAGTCCTCCTGGAAATCAGCACCTAACAGCCGTGTCTATTCTCTCCATGGCTCCGTAGTTTTCGCATTTTGCTTTCAGGTCAGCTTGTTTCAGAAACATCAGCAATGAATGTCCCTCACCATTTTGCGCAAGCCTTGTAGATGCTCAGGAGTTGTTCTGATACACATGAAACAGGGGCTGGTCCTGAGACAGGGGAAAGCAAGGGAATCCATTGCTGTTCCTCCTTGGCCTCTGCTGGCCTGCTTTGGGGCAGATCTCCTCATTCCCCAGTCTATGAGAAACACATATAAATGCTGTCTGGGTTGCCAGCGTCTGAGTGAAGTGGATTCTTCTGGCATTTGGCCATCCTTTGACCACCTCATCCTTTGGGTCTGCTGTGTCGCTGGGTACCTGGGAGCCCTGGGAAGGGGATGGATAGCAACGGCCTTGCTGTGTGTTGTGCTAGCAAGCCACAAGAATGGTCCAGAAGGATGATCTGTTGGGACAGGAGACAAGTCTGGTGTCGAGACAGATCAGTGAGGGGTCGCAGAGAAGAGGGAGCCAAGTGTCTGTGGATGAGCTCCCTGGTGTGAGCGTTACCCACACAGCCCTTTGCACAGGCTGCCTTGCTCTACATCCAGAAGCCCATTTCCCAAAGTGACCTGAGTGCTTGGGGCTGCATTCTTGTCTCTGCTGGAATTCAGGCTCCCAAGGGCCTCATTCCTTTGGGAAAACCAGGCTTAGATTTATAAATCACCGGGGCACTTTGAAAGTGGTCCTTGAGGATGCTTTGCTTGTGTCTTTTGGAAGGAACCAAAACAAGAGGAAGCTTTGGGGGCTCTTGCATTTTCTAGTGCAAAAGTTAGGTGAATTCATAAACTCTCCATGTTTTTTTTCCCCCCCTCCCTTTTTTAGCTAAAAAATGTTCAGGGATTGGGGTGAGGAGGCAGCTCCACCCAGCTGGGCAGCTGCACCAGGCTCTGGGGTCAGGTCACTAGGCATTTATTTCCAGACAAGGATTTAAAGGGCTGCTCCAGCCAGAGTGGACTGGAACAGCCATGCTGTGCTGGGGAGGCAGCGGGTAATGGCGAGGGGGAGCAGCCACCCCACACTGGTATCTCTCCAAGTCCTGTGTGGCTTTCAGAAGGTGGCCAGGCCATTTGGTTGCTGTCCCAGCTATGGCTGGAGCGTGTTGTGGGCTCTGTGGGGAGTTCTGCTCAGCCTGTGGGGGCCTGGCCTGTTCTTGCTGTGGGGCCCCATCCCCATTTGGAGCACTGCAGCAAAGAAGTGCAGAAGGGAGGAAGAGCCAAGCAGCGGTTGCCCCCTCACACACATTGCAGCCCTCAGGTCTCACCCAATGTCTGTGCAGGAGCTCTCTTACGTGGCAGACACACAGCCAGAACAGGGGGTACAGGGGCATGGTGCAGCATGAGCAGAGGTAGGCAGTGGCGCTAGAGGTTCCTTTTAGGGACACAGAGCCACGGGCTAGAACCTGCGCCCATGTGGAAGAGGTGCAAACAGGGAGAGCAGCCTGCTTTGCCTTACCACTCCACTGCGGGAGCTGGTGGTATCTCCAGACCCAAATGGAGGGCCTATTCAGCCCGACCACCACCATTGCAGGACCCTCACCAGGTCCTATGAGCTGGGCAGCAGCTGTGCCCATGGTGCACCGGGGGACCCACTGGCGCTCCAAGCGGGCAGGGTGCATGGACGGAGAACAAGCTGTATGAAAACAAGGTCCCCCTGCCACCCCTCCCCCTGGGCCAGTGACATGGGAAGGAAGAGGGGACGGGGCCATGACAATGGGCTGCAGGGAGCTGACTCAAACAGCCAGTTCCTGGTCATTTCCTTTCTCTCGGGGCTGGAGAAAGGGCCCGGAGGCGGGGAAGGCAGAGGAAGCTCACCCCCTCGGCGTGTTTTTGACACAAGGATTAGTGCATGACAAAAGCAAGCACCGTCTTGGCAGCAAGCAGAGCCCCACTGCCCTGCGCTGCACTGGCCCGCAGAGGACCCACGCTTCTCAACTGCTGACTGGACCACGGGGCACCACAGGGAGGGCAACTCACCACCCCCTACACGGTTGCAGATACGCCTGTAGCCCCCTGTGCCAAGTGCAGCCATGGCCAAAGCAGAGTCACTCCTCCTGTCGCGGCACCGGGGAGGTAAGGCAGGCAGGGCGGGCCGGGGG